GAAGACGATATCAAAGCCGGTAGGAATGTCAGTTTAGATATACTGACTGCTGAAGACTGTTGATGTACGATGGCAAAGCGACATGAATCCATGGCATATAACACAAGTTTTGGAGGGAGGTATTGAACCGTAAGAGATTTTTTAGTAGTTTATTCAGATTGTGGTTTTACGATGGTTTTGTAATTAAATAAGATGTTATAAGAGAGAACAGTAGTTGAAGAGTTGTTTGCAAGATAATACATAAAATTATATAATTCAACACAAAAAACGCTAATACATTTTTGTGATGAGGTGTTTTAAAAAGTAGTTTCTACGAAATTTATGCGAGACTTCTGTTTGCAGCAGTATAAAGCTTATAGAGATAATTGTGGGAGGGGGGGTATCTAATGCTGATTTATATTTACGATTCTACTGTATTTGCTGGCAAACTGTACGATAGAATTTTTTCGCTTATTTCGCTCAATATCCTCTGAAAACTGGATGATGGTTCATCTGCCTGAAAAAGCTTAGATTCTTATTGCTTGTTCACTCCGTTTTCTCAGTCCCTTGGTGTAGAAGTTTCGGTAAAGATTGGTACACTGCCATGGGGAAGTGGAATTATACGATAAAAGTTCATCCGCAAATTTAACAATTAAACCATTTTAAACAAATATAACGTAGTCGCTTTTATTTTATTCAGAAAAGATCATGGGTTTTGTATGCTGAAGTAAAACATTTTTAAAACGGAAGAAATAAATCGAGGAAAATTCATGAATAACACAAAGACTTGTATTAACAGCCTTAGAAGGCAATTTCTTAACACAAAACAACGTTTTTAATTGAGCAAAAAAATAAGCTGGAAATAAAATCGAGCGACATCTTGGATTATGATTTTGCGGACAGATACCAAATCTTTTCACAGCTTAAAGACTTTTAATCGTTTTATTGTTTTAGTCTCTTCAAATAGTCTGTTAGACGAAATATTCCGATGACAGCTGTTTCCTGCCAAGCTGCTTACTGCTGGCTGAGAAAGCGTTTTACCTGACCTTTATAAGAGCTGCAAACTAATTCCTAGCTTCAGTAGCATCACGTAATATTTGATAGCTTTTTTTACGATAAATGGAAGTTCTATGTGTCATCTTAAGCCTGAGTAACCAAATCTAAACAAAGAATAACTGATAAATTTGCGACTAAACGGTAACAAATTATGTTTAAGGTGTCAAAACAAAGAATACAAAAGAATTTTTAGAATCTGAGCAAAGCATTACTTCATTAGAACTGACCAAGCATTTCTTTTTTGTTGTAATTTTCTAGAATTTAAAAGTTTTTTAATGCCCACTTTTGAACTTTTTTAAACTGACGCTTCCTTTTTGCCAGTAATTACCATGTGCAATTTTTTCATGTTTCTCTAAAATTGAATTTTGCAAAAGTGTAAAATTAATTCATTTCCTTTGCTAGAAAAATGAGAAAATTGCTATTCCCCTGTTTTTTTTTTT